GGGGTGGGAGGGGGGGAGGGGAGGGGATCTACAATCCCCCTTACCCCTCGACTTAACTAATATTAACTATGTATGGTAAAATTGTCATATAGATAATGATAGTTAAATGAATGAAACTGATAAACAAATAATACATGTACATCATTCCAAAACAGGTCATCGTTGGGAAACAAACGAAATAGGCCATGATCATTCCTAGACGAAAAGGAATCGTGACACGACTAATCGATGCAGGTGTTTTTAAAGGGGGCTCATTAACAAAACAACACTAAGCTAGATATCTCTGAAAAGGAGAAGAAAAATACCAGTAATAATACAAAACAGGAAAATTTGGTATATTGTTTGTCCTACCATGCACACAAACAGCGATGATAATTACACCAAAAGCAGATTACAACAATTTTTGGTTAATGAGAATAGGTTCATATTCTAGGAAGGAAGTATAAAATAATTTGTCATTTGTCACTAGCTGAAAGGGAAACTCTGAAAAAAGCAGAGTCCAGAGTCCTATCAGCAGGGACTCCGATTTTTTTCAGAATATTCCATTACTACTATTGATAAATGGCAAATTATTCTATATAATCTTTTGTTGTTGTGGTAAAAACGTATGCAGGAGAAGTAAGACTTGGATAATGTATCACTATCTTGGCAAAATAAAAATGTATAATAAATTATATTATTTCTTTTCAGTAAAATATTGATTACATTACTAGATGTACCCTAAGGCAAAGAAACGGGTTCGAGCCACCTTACCCCTCCACCGCGTAGGTCCTGAGTACTAGTTATCTGGCATCGACGATGGTTTGACAACAGAACAACATGGAGCCGGGGAAAAATGGGGTAAAAAATAATCAAACAGACATGAACGATGGTAAGAAAGACGTTTAAATAATTCCATCGCTAACTCAAATATGACTATAAGATAAGTAAGCCTTTTATTTTATCTGTTATCAATATTTTTTGGTCAGGCGCAAGAACGAGCAAGTTTCTTTACAAAGCATCGACTCAGAAATCAGATCCTTGGAGCAAAAACGACGACGAATTCGATGATATTATTAAACCTGATATGTTCACAACTGACAAGAAAAGAAATAGCAGTTCTCCAGGTAAGATACAGGCCTGTAAATTGGTGGTGATTTGAGTTATGGATATTAATAAATCGATCTTTTTGTGTGGACTGCAATTAGGTGTTGATCTAGACGATGTGTGGAGTATTCGCAAGAATGTACAAGTAACAGCATCGATCAAGAATGGATCAGCTTTAAAAACTACCGGAAAATCTTTTTATTCAAGACATGGTGGACTATCGGGTAGGATAAATTATAGATATTACAGTTATCAAGATGTCATCCATTTTATTGCAAGCCGCTCTGATTATTGCCATTATGATCGTGTGTGATATGTGTATTTGTATTCTTTGTTGCTTAGTTGCAAACCTCTTGGGACATCCTACTGAACTGCTGTAAGCACTTGGATTATTTCTTGATCCTTCTTTAGTGCTATCGCTTATTGAAGGCAGTCATCATTTATTTGAAGATTTTTCTATTATTTTTTTTAGGAAACGTAGATGCGAACACTTCAGTAATGTCAAAAAAGCAGAGAATGGATGGAGAAGAAATGAGTCAATCGCAGAGTAGTTCTGGTAAGGGTCGTAGGGTTGTATTATTAGTAACTATGGAATTCAAAACTGTGTGGAGTGTTATAAAAGGCTTTGTATTGTTAGCTACCACGGAATCTAAAACTGTCATTCAATATTTGTTCTAGAATATTTGAAATTATATTAAGACCTTAAAATATGTTAATGCTTTAAATAATATGCTTATTCTTAATAAATGAAATTCTAAAGAGAGGATTTAAGCTTTATGATCATGATAGAAATTATCTTCCTTTTCCGCTTAGATGGGACACAGTTCCAATTAATCTTTATATCAAAATTAATTTGATGTGTCCTGTCAACTATCAAGGTCTGACACGGTAAACACTCACCATCTTTCTTTATACTCATGTATATGTTATATCTTGCTTTGATGCTTGATAGAGGAAGATTGATGCATCATATGCTTGATCTTTCTATTTCGTCATTCAAATTCAAAAGAATAGCTCTTTTAATTTGTGTTTTATAAAAGAGATAAAAATTAACCTACTGTGAAGAGTGACTGTGAAAAATAATGGGAAGTGTTAGAAAAAGCATGAAGAGCGCAGCTGTAAAGCGCTAATGGGAAGTGTTAGGAAAAGCGATTAAGGGTCATTAGCTAAAGAAATCCTAGCAACTTTTGACCACCTACTATTGATTGCTCAGTTTAAACATAAGATTGTACACACAAAAAAGGATGCTAAATTACCATAGCAACTATCAAAACTTTATCAAGGAACCTTATACATTTTGAACTTTAAGGGGGTAAAACCCTCTAGTTTTGCACTGGACTCTTTTTTTTTTTAAATTCCAAAAAATACATGAAAGAGAAACTCTTGACAAAGCGTGAAAAAAAAATGGCTTGGGTTTTAGTCATGGAAAAAGAAGCAGGTGTATGTTATTAAATCTCATTTTTGACTGCATTTTCAATATTTTCCAAATCATTTGACATCTTTATAAAACAATGCATAATTTAGGATTTCCGGGGATCAGGGCATTTTGAATTTTTCATAGAAGACTGGTTTTCTCTTCTGAAAAATTGTGAATATCTCAAAAACTAGCTGGGGACACCCCTTTCTTTCCCCATTTTAGATCAGAATTGTATTTCCTATAAATGTTCTATCAGTGTCCAAAAGCCAATTCTTCTGCAGAACTGTCACCTTTGTCTAAGGATTGTGTCAGGACCTAAAAGCCCACTATTCTGCAAGACTGTCATCTTTGTCTGTTTTAAGAGTTCTATCAGTGGGTCAAAGCCCACTCTTATATATAATGGCCACCTTTGCCTAAGGATTCCAGGTGATTTGGCTTCCCACAGACTGATTAAACTAGCCAACAAGCGAACACTTTCTAATATTAGTTCATTATTTCCTAGTTCCAGGTTTTCAGATTGACCAATACGATACAATACAATACATCTTTATTCACATTTCCTTTTATGTTAGATTACATTAATTTATATATTTAGATCATTGAAAAGAAAGAAAATACTTATTTCGTCAAATAATTAAAGCTAAATATAGGTGGTAATGAAAGGAAATGCCTAGAGCCTAAATAAACCATGTAGTTTCCTAGTTACAGCTACAGCTACCAGCTACACCTTTTAGTTGAGAATAAAGAAAACAAAACTAATTGTTGAAGGATACACCACATATCGTTCTAAAAAAAGGATATTTCGTTGTAGTTGGTGGAAAATAGTTCCCTTTGACACAAGATAATAGAAAATACTTGTAAGTTTTTGCATTGACAAACAATATATTTGGTGCCTTGATTCCAAATCACCTGGTTCTATCAGTGCCTAATAAGAACCCACTCTTCTGTAGAACTGCCACCTTTTTCTGTTTTAAGAGTTCCATCAGTGACTGAAAGCCCACTCTTCTGTATAATGGCCACCTTTGTGTAAGGATTCTATTAAAGGCTAAAAACCCACTCTTCTGCAGAACTGCCACCTATGTTTGAGGATCCTATTCTGCAGATCAGCCACCAATTCCAGTTCCTTTAAAAGAGTCTTTTCTTTAATTTCTTTGGAGTTCCTTGTAGTGCTCCTTTTGTATTGCCACAATTCTAATTTTTCTAATATTTCTAATCTTATAATAATAATTTTACTCCGACGAAGGACTAGCATCCGAAACGTCAGTAAATTTTTTCATCTTTTCACGGTGTGATATTTACCTTTTTATTATTACTCTTTTATTAGAAATACCGACGTAGCTCACACTAGATTTCAGCTAGACATCTCTTCTTATAGTTATGATAATTTTTAATATTATTGTAATTCCTAAATCTAAGGAATCAATCAATATGATATCATCTAAGTAATCAATCAGTATATGAATTAGATGTAATAATAAGTTTTTTATGCAAAAAATAATAATTTACTATTCCTTTCCTAATCGTACATTTATTTTACTCAAAAGGTTGGAGTGCTCCAAGGCCAGGCTATTCCTATTCGGACAAGTTTTCATTCGATAACAACGGAAGCAGCCAGAGTAGGTCTCCTTTAGCAAGAGAATTTGGCGACATCATTGCTGACGACAACAAAAGAAGGCATGAAGAGGAAGATTTTGAGTCTAAGAAAAATAGATTGAATGCTCGATTGCCAATGCCAGGGGGTAGGTACTCCCATCCAAGATAGCTTGATAGCTAGATACCTTTATACATACATGTACATTTATATCATATATGATTGTTGGTCCAGGATCTGAAATGGGCACTCTGAAACTAAACAGAAATTTTGTCCCTTAACCCTTTCACTACTAGAGCAACCAAAAGCGTCCAACCGTAAATGTGACATATTTTCTAGAGTGGCCAAAAGTGGCCAGTGGAAAGACATTTTTACTTTTCAATTACATGTACCTGTCCCGTAGGACATATATTTTTCATTTTGATATTGAGAAATAAAAAACACCCTAATTATGTTCCAGGAAGAGCCTGTGTTGGACCCTTTAAGAGCCTCTAAGAGTGAAAAGGTTAATGTCTTTTAACTAAAATATTGAAAAAATCACATTATTACAATTTGCATTGGCTACTTGATCTCAGATTTCAGATTTCTGACCAACAATGTTTTTTTTTAATATGTGTACATGTACATGCAATAGCAAAGTCAATGTGGAGTTCAAAAACATAGAAGCTGAGACCCAAAGGTATTCTGGGAAATGATTTTGTCCTCTGATGTATTCATATGAGATACAGTCTATAGCCCGATCTTTGTTTACATTTTTTCCTCTTTAGCATAAAACAAATTTCAAGCTACAAGCAAACCGAAAATTTGAGAGTAATATGTTCAATATGTTGGGAATAAATTTTTTTTGAAAGCGCTGATTTACAAAGAAATGTATGGTCGCGTGGCAAGTCTCGGTTTGCTTGTAGCTTGAAATATTTTTAATGCTAATGAGGAAAAAACGTAAACAAAGATCGGCCTGTATACGCAGTGTGTTAAGAGCCTCCATGCCCTCTAGCAGTTGTATCACTAAATACATCTAATTGACTTACCATTTCAGTATGTACCAATGTACCATTTCACTCTCAGCTTCTATGTTTTATGTTTTTTCCATCCATCCATCCATCCCTCCCTCCCTCCCTCCCTCCCTCCTTCCGTCCATCCATCCATCCATTTATTTACCTATTTATTCATTTATTCCCTCTTGTTTGTGCCTCTTTGAATGCTCTTGCAACAGTTTTCAGTTCATACCCTCAATTTTTGTGCCTGTGTTTTGGTTATCCTGATTTGAATCCTGATTTTATTTTTGGAACTTTATAATTAAATGTATCTTTGGCAATTATTATTCATTTTTTGACAGCACCACAAATTGCAGCAAGAGAAATGTCTGCAAGGACCAAACGTGCACAAACATTACAACAAGCTCATATGAAGTCTCGTGGATTAGGCCAGTATTCATCCCCCAGTGCGCCATATACCAAACAGCTTGATGACGATGATTAATACTTTCAAGTGGAGAAGTAAAAATGATTTGATTTAATGGTGTAAAATATATTTATTAGAAAATCGTTCAAAATATTCTACAGAACATGCGTCGGACAATGTTGTTCTAAATTTGTGTTTATTTATTTGTTCATCGTAGTATTCCACATTATAAAATAACTGTTATGAATGTCGCGTTCTGATTGGTTTGGAGCGCGTGCTTTATGAGAGCACATTGCACGCGCTCCCACTTTCCGTTGCGTCATTCCTATCTATTATTGTAATTTGTATTTTATAAAAGAAAAAAAAAACTTGCTTGCTGTGCTGTGTGCAGTCATAAAGCACTTGGGGATTGGCAGAACACTCGAGAAGTGTCCAGAAGCACTCCGCTACGCGTCGTGCTTCTCCTAACACTTCTGTCGTGTTCTGCCAACCCCCGCGTGCTTTATGACAGCATACAGCACGCGCGCGCGTTTTCTATTTCTTCAATGGATAAATGTTGTAAGTGAAGACTTATGACAATTTGTATCATATGAGGTTAAGAGCGTTCGTTATCAGGGGGAGGGGGTAGGGAAATGGCTGGGGCTTCATAGGGGAGGGTCCTCAGTAACACTTTGGTGGAGGTTCAAAAATTTTTATTTTGAGGAAAGCTGTTTCCTTGTCGTGTTAATACAAGGGTCAAATTCATTACTGAGTGAAAGATGTGGGGTATGACCATTAAAAAAAAAAAGAATTACAAACCCTCACCCCACACCCCCCACCAATAAAAAAAAGACTTTTCTTTAGTTGTCACTTTTAGACTCCGTGATCAAATAAAGATTTTTGTACTGAAATATTTTATGCCAGCTTTAAAAAAGTATATTAAATATGAGAACATGCGTAATAGGTAAATTACGAGCCTATTACGCATGTTCTTATATGATTTCCGAGCCCATCCCACACGGCTTACCGCCTCATCTATCATATATTAAATATCATGTTTTACTTGTGTTTTCTTTAAAATACTGCCAACCAGAACGCATATGTTTGGACCTTTTTTGATTTTGCATCAGAGATATTTGCAGCGTTTTTATAAATGTGTTTAATATATTTATGTAGAGTGTAAACAATATATCCGTGAAGAAAGATAGCTAACAAAATTTAACAAATTAGTGCAAAGTTTTGTAGGTTTAAGGTCTAATTTGGACTACTGAACTTACTAATTTGTGCAATTTCGTATTGATGAGTTGTAAGGCATTTTCTACAGAGTCAAGAGCATGTCGGCCATTTTGGCGCCGTAAAAAAATGGCTCCCGCGATGATGTAGTCTGCAATAGAAGGATGCAAAGCTTTTCACGGATATATGGAATGCATTCTACTGTTTTATGTCCGAGTGTCATCTCCTGTCGTTGTATACCAAAAAAAGTCTTTCAAAAGGTCTATTTTATATAATTATTGTGATTTTTTAAAATGATTTTTTATTGTATTTTGTGGTCAGATAATAAAAGCCACTATAAACTTGTATCTATTAGATTAGAAACATGAAATCTAACTCTGAATCATAGTGTATGTATGATTTATGTAAATAAAGGATTCATTACTTTATATCAAGTCTAACTTTATATTTAAAACTTTGCTGTTAAAGGGAAAACAATTGAAAGAAAAACATTGGACAAAACCAGGTAACTGGAAAGTACTTGATCTGAAGTTCCTGTTGTGTTTACATACATTCACTTACAAGATCCTTGCGCTAAGTAAGCGCGCACTCTTCGATTGGAGCTCTGGCTACAAGAGCATGTAGATAGTTTTGTGCTATCGTGAACGATGGAAGACGAAATCAAGTTGCGAAAGAAATTTTCAAAGTTATTGTTGTGTTCACATACATTCCCTAATCAGAGCCTTTCGCTGAATAAGCGCGCACTCTTCGAAGAAAATCTTTAATTTCTCAGCCTGTTTTATAAGCTGCGAGCTCCAAATAAAAAGTTTCAACGACTTTGAAGCTTTGGCTACAAGAGCATGGAGATAGTTGTGTGCTAACGTGAATGATGGAAGAGGATGAATGCAGAATTTAATGTGGAGTATAGACCATCCAAAGCCATGTTGTTAGACACAGCCCTACCACTAGGGGGGTGTAAAAAATACTAGATAGCTGTATTTTAGCTGGAAATTTCTTGTTGAACATTATTCCCCTATCGAATACGGTCAAGAAAATTCGGTTTCCCAGAGAAATTCAAGTTGCGAAAGAAATTGTCAAAGTTTCTGTTGTTTTCAAATACATTCCCTTATAAGAGCCTTTCGCTGAATAAGCGCGCACTCTTCGAAGAAAATCTTTAATTTCTCAGCCTGTACATAAGCTGCGAGCTCCAAATCAAAAATTTCAACGCCCTTGGAGCTTTGGCTACCAGAGCATGTAGATAGTTTTGTGCTATCGTGAATGATGGAGGAGTATGAAGGCAAAATTTAATTTGGAGTATAGACCATCTACAGCCATGTTTTTGCACACAGCCCTACTCCTAGGAAGATGTGAAAAATGCTAGATAGATGTATTTTAGCTGTAAATTTCTTTTTTTCCCCTATCGAATACGGTCAAGAAAATTCGGTTTTCCAGAGGAAATCAAGTTGCGAAAGAAATTGTCAAAGTTCCTGTTGTGTTCACATACATTCCCTTATAAGAGCCTTTCGCTGAATAAGCGCGAAGTCTTCGAAGAAAATCTTTAATTTCTCAGCCTGTACATAAGCTGCGAGCTCCAATTCAAAAATCCTAACGACTTTGGAGCTCTGGCTTCCTTTTCATATAGACAGTTTCGTGCTATAATGAATGATGGAGGAGGAAATCAAGTTGCGAAAGAAATTATCAAAGTTTTGTTGTGTTCACATACATTCCCTTATAAGAGTCTTTCCCTGAATAAGCGCGCACTCTTCGAAAAAAATCTTTAATCTCTCAGCCTGTACATAAGCTGCAGCCCCCAAATTAAAAATTTCAACGACTTTGGAGTTCTGGCTACCTTTTCATATAGACTGTTTTGCGCTATCATGAATGATGGAAGAGGATGAATGCAGAATTTATTGTAGAGTACAGACCATCCACAGACATGTCGTTGGACACAGCCCTACCCCTAGAAAGGTGTGAAAAATACTAGATAGCTGTATTTTAGCTGAAAMTTTCTTGTTCAACATTATTCCCCTATCGAATGCGGTCAAGAAAATTTGGTTTTCCAAATGAAATGAAGTTGCGAAAGAAATTGTCAAACTTCCTGTTGTGTTCACATACATTCCCTTATAAGAGCCTTCCGCTGAATAAGCGAGAACTCTTCGAAGAAAATCTTTATTTTCTCAGTCTGTACATAACCTGCGATCTCCAAATAAAAAATTTCAACGCTTTTGGAGCTCTGGCTACAAGAGAATGTAGATAGTATTTGTGCTATCGTCAATAATGGAAGAGGATGAAGGCAGAATTTAATGTGGAGTATAGACCATCCACACCCATGTTGTTGGACACAGCCCTACCCCTAGGGGCGTTTGAAATATACTAGATAGCTGTATTTTAGTTGGAAATTTCTTGTTGAACATTATTCCCCTATCGAATACGGTCAAGAAAATTTGACCTTCCAAATGAAATGAAGTTGCGAAAGAAATTGTCAAAGTTCCTGTTCTGTTTATATATATTCACTTATAATAGCCTTTCGCTGAATAAGCGCACACTCTTCGAAAAAAATCTTTAATTCCTCAGCCTGTACATAAGCTGCGAACTCCAAATAAGCAATTTCAGCGACTTAGGAGCTCTGGCTACAAGAGCATGTAGATATTTTTGTGCTATCGTGAATAATGGAAGAGGATGAAGGCAGAATTTAATGTGGAGTACAGACCATCCACAGACAGCTGTATTTTAGCTGGAAATTTCTTGTTGAACATTATTCCCCTGTCGAATACGGTCAAGAAAATTCGGTTTTCCAGATGAAATCAAGTTGCGAAAGAAACTGTCCTGAAAAATGAGAATCTGTGGACCGCGTAGAAATATGGAAAAGTTTTACTGTAGTGCTTGGGAGCGAGGTTATTTCGGGCGAAAGACCCTTGGAAATAAATTCGGAAAAATTAATTTCCGACCTCGCTGGGAATCGAACCCACGAGTTGAGCTAGAGGTCAGACTGAGAGCAGGCCTCGTTCCCAAGCACTATAACTTATCTATATTTCTATATCTTGATCAAAAAATGGATAACTAGGAAAATCGCAAATAGCTCATTTTCGAAATCACTAATAATATTTGTTTGAGACATTAACCAAGAACCTGCATGTAAATGATCGTTTCAGTCTTTGTGTGGCTTTTTGTTGATAAATTATAAATAGAGTATCATCATGTGCCGCAGAACAAAATCTAACACGCGTGCCGTCACGTGTCTTTGAAACCCTCTATTAGCTGGGCACTTATAATAGTTGTCGCGCAGAGACTGGAGGACGTTTTGTACAGGTAGAGATGACAGCCGCCAGAGTAAGGTATGAACGGAAAGTGGGAAAAATCGTGGGGAATAGAGCGAATCCAGGATTTTAGAATGGAAGGTTACCAGAAACGCAATTCCCTGATACTTTCCCCCGGTGCTCTCCCCCAGACTCCTTCCGGGCCCGTGAGGGGAGGGGGGGTTTGGGGGAGTGGGTCTGCGTCATATCTATATTTAGCCGGCACAATTTTTTAGGAGGGCGTGTTCTGCACCTGGATCATATCTATTTTTAGTAGCAGGATTATGAAGAACCACTGACTAGATATTTACTAATATGATCTACTCTTTATTAGTTTTTACAAACCATTACCAAACCAGCTCATTTTAAGTAAAACTAAAAGATTTGGTTTAAAACATTTTAAAATGTTTTAAACCAAATCTTTTAGTTTAAAAATCAATAGCCAAACCAGCTCACTTTATTGTTCAGATCATACTAATTATACAAATACGAAATGCAATACGTTTATAAATCTATTATAACATATGCATATGCATGTACAGCCGTCTACTTTGTTGTGCTTATCGAGTCTGTCACATGGAATAAGTTAGACAATAGTCCGATAGTCTGTTAGTCTGTGATAGCCGAATTGATATATGTAGTATAGGAGAAGGAGAGCGGAGAGCCGAGCCAAACGAACCGACTCTTACGAGCGGCTAAGCTTACGAGCTGAGCCCGTCCTGACATCGATCTCAAATCGACCCTAAATCGACCCTACATCGACCTGAAATCGACCCTACATCGCGGACCCTACATCGACCTGATATCGATCTCACA